CCCTCTTCAACCCCCCCTTTCTCATCTTTGCACAGCCACCTTCTGCCCAAAGTCGCTTATATCACCGAATTCTCCTCCCTTAGTTTACACTTTCCTTCCCTCTTACTTGTTGTTGCCCCCCTTCCTCTTTTCCCATCTACCTCTTACTCTAACTGTAGCCCAAACCAATAAGATCCGTATATCCCTTGCCCCTCTATAACATGTACATCCTGAGCCTACCATCAACCTTTTATCCCAATACATAATCTAATAAAAACTACTTTCATTACGTGCTACATCATACCTTGTATTTTTTTTTACCTCTTTTTCATAAAATTTGTATTACTTTTTACCAAATTTCTTTCTACACTAGCTCAAATTTAAAAGGGTCCCCCCTTTACATTTACCCCCGGGCCCCCCCAAATTTACCTACACTCCCTCCATAACATTTTACCCATTTTTTCCCCAACCAAAACCCAAGAAAAAAACCCCCCAGAATAACATTCCCAAAATCTCTCTCTCTCCTCACACTTCTCTCTTCTCCAGGTGCAACAACGTTATTATAACCCACTTTCAAATCCAATCTTATTTACTCCCATAATCCTGAATTATACATTTATAGTCCCTCTTTCCTCCCAGCTTTCCTTCAACATTTTTCTACTCTTCTTTAGCTTAACTCTATTTGAAACCCCTGACCTAATCCATTTATTTCCTCTCCACTGAAACTCTCCCACCCCTTCGCTTTGTTTCACTTAAAGCCAGACATCCAGCTTCTCTCATTCAAACTCCCCCCAAATCTTTTTCCCTTATCATCTGCACAACACCACGCACTTTCCCAGACTTCCCACTTTGACAATTTCTTCTCTTATCTTTTTAGTAATCTTACGGGAAAAGGGGGTTTTACTAGCCCATTTTTCCCCGGCATTTTAGTTGACTTTACAACAACCCCATGGCTTAGGAGGAAAGATTCTTATTCCATTCCCCATGGATATAAAAGGAAAATTAATAAACAGAACTATTAAGATAAAATCAAAAAAAACTAAATGAGTGTATAAATAAATGTGTACATGAATGTTGAGTGTGACTAATGTAAGTAGAAGTACAAGACATCCCTGTAATCTTGATATTTAATGAGACAGACAAAGACATCAGCAATCCTACCATCATGTAAAACTTTCACAGGCTTCGTTTTACACTCACTTGTAGGTAGTGGGTTTTGGTAGCAGAAAACCACCCAGGGAGTTTACTACCGTCCTGCCAAGTGAGTGTAAAATGAAAGCCTGTGTTTTTTTTTTACTAAATGGTAGGATTGCTGATGTCTTTTGTCTGTCTCATAAATATACAAGATTACAGGCATGTCTTGCTACTTCTACTTACACCCTTTGGTCCCCACTACACATACATGTACACATTTTTTTATACCACTCATCTGGGGTTTTTTTGATTTTTTTTTTTTTTGGTTTTATTTTTTTTTTTTATACCATGGGGAAGTGGAAAAAGAAAACTTCCTCCGTAAGCCCTGCTGTTGTAAAAGTCAACTAAAAAAGCCGGGAACAAAGGGCTAGTAACCCCCTTTTTCCGTAAAGATTAAAAAAAGAATAAGAAGAAAATTGCAAAGTGGGAAGTCTGAAGTTTTCATGGATTTGTGCAGATATAAAAAGAGGTTGTGGATGTTTTAATGAGAAGAAGCTGGGTGCCGGCTTTTAAATGAAAAAAAGCTGAAGGGGGTGGAGAGTTTTAGTGGAGAGGAATAAAAGGGATTAGGTCAGGGGTTTTTAAATAGAGTTAAGCTAAAGAAGAGACAAAAATGTTAAGGATAACTATGGCAGAAAAGGGGACATAAAGTATTAATTCAAGATTATGTGGGGTAAAATAAAGATTGGATGGAAAATGGGGTTTTAATAACGTGATGCACCTGGAAAGAAGAAGTGAGAGGAGAGAGAGAGATTTTGGGGAAAAGTTGAGTGAATGCATGGGGGTTTTGATCAAGTGTGAAGTAAAAGGGGTTGGGATTTTAATCAAATGGGTAAAAATTTATGGGGTAGTATAGGGAAATTGGGGGCCAGGGGGGAAATGTAAATGGGGGGCCTTTAAATTTCTATGTGTAAAGAGATTTGGGAATAAGTAATACAATTTTATGAAAAAGAGGATAAATAAATTACAAGGGATGTGAGCCGTAATAAAAGTTTTTTATTAGTTTATGTTTTGGGGAAAAAAGGTTAGGGGTAGGCTCCGGGATGTCATGTTTATGGGGGGGGCAAGTTTAAATCGGATCATTATTTAGTTGTAACTACATTTAGAGTAAGAGGAGATGGGAAAAGAGGAAGGTGGCAACAAAAAAGTAAGAGGGGGGGAAAAAGTGAAAAACAAAGGGGGAAAGGGAGGAAGTTGGGGTTTAGATATAAGCACTATTCAGAAGGTGGGGGTAGTGCAAAGATGGTAGGGGGGGGTTTAAGAGGGTTGGAAATTTTTTAAAAAAGCAGTATTAGAATGTGGGGGAGAAGTTTGGGTTATAGGAGGGTGGGGGGAGGGGGAAAGAGGAGGGGATTGGTGGAATGATGAAGTAAAGGGTGTGATAAAAGAGAAAAAGGAGCTTATGAGGGTTTTTACAAAGCAGAACGTTTTTAAGAAAGCAAGTAATGGGGAGTAAAAGAAAGGTAAAGAGAGTGGGGAGAGAGTGCAAAAGGAGAGCAGATGATAGAGTGGGAGAGGCACTGTCAAGAAATTTTTTAAAGAAAATAAAAAAAATTTGGGGGATTAAACAATTAAAAAACCAGGGAAAAAGGTTTTCAGTTAAAAAAAGAGTAGGGGGTTTTTAGTGGAGAAGGGGGGTATTTGGTAGATGGGGAGAATATTTTGAGAAAATTTAAATGTTAAGGAAGAAACAGAGGCAGTAATTTCATGCACTGGTCAGGGAGGTATACCATCTTTTAGGAGTGAAGAAGAGCAAAATGTAAGTGTGGGGGAGGTACGTGAGGCATTACATAAAATGAAAGGGGGTAAAGCAGCTGGAACTGATGGGATCATGACAGAAATGTTAAAAGCAGGGGGGGATATAGTGTTGGAGTGGTTGGTACTTTTGTTTAATAAATGTATGAAAGAGGGGAAGGTACCTAGGAATTGGTAGAGAGCATGTATAGTCCCTTTATATAAAGGGAAAGGGGACAAAAGAGACTGTAAAAATTATAGAGGAATAAGCTTACTGAGTATACCAGGAAAAGTGTACGGTAGGGTTATAATTGAAAGAATTAGAGGTAAGACAGAATGTAGGATTGCGGATGAGCAAGGAGGTTTCAGAGTGGGTAGGGGATGTGTAGATCAAGTGTTTACATTGAAGCATATATGTGAACAGTATTTAGATAAAGGTAGGGAAGTTTTTATTGCATTTATGGATTAGAAAAGGCATATGATAGAGTGGATAGAGGAGCAAAGTGGCAGATGTTGCAAGTATATGGAATAGGTGGTAAGTTATTAAATGCTGTAAAGAGTTTTTATGAGGATAGTGAGCTCAGTTTAGGGTGTGTAGAAGAGAGGAGACTACTTCCCGGTAAAAGTAGGTCTTAGACAGGGATGTGTAAATGTCCCCCATGGTTGTTTAATAATTTTATAGAGGGGGTTTGTAAAGGAAGTAAATGCTAGGGTGTTCGGGAGAGGGTGGGATTAAACTTTGGGGAATCAAATTCAAAATGGGAATTGACACAGTTACTTTTTGCTGATGATACTGGTGCTTATGGGAGATTCTAAAGAAAAATTGCAAAGGTTAGTGGATGAGTTTGGGAATGTGTTGTAAAGGGTAGAAAGTTGAAAGTGAACATAGAAAAGAGTAAGGTGATGAGGGTGTCAAATGATTTAGATAAAAAAAATTGGATATCAAATTGGGGAGGAGGAGTATGGAAGAAGTGAATGTTTTCAGATACTTGGGAGTTGACGTGTCGGCGGATGGATTTATGAAGGATGAGGTTAATCATAGAATTGATGAGGGAAAAAAGTGAGTGGTGCGTTGAGGTATATGTGAAGTCAAAAAACGTTATCTATGGAGGCAAAGAAGGGAATGTATGAAAGTATAGTAGTACCAACACTCTTATATGGGTGGTGAAGCTTGGTGGTAAATGCAGCAGCGAGGAGACGGTTGGAGGCAGTGGAGATGTCCTGTTTAAGGGCAATGTGTGGTGTAAATATTATGCAGAAAATTCGGAGTGTGGAAATTAGGAAAAGGTGTGGAGTTAATAAAAGTATTAGTCAGAGGTGGTTTGGTCATTTAGAGAGAATGGATCAAAGTAGAATGACATGGAAAGCATATAAATCTATAGGGAAGGAAGGCGGGTAGGGGTCGTCCTCGAAAGGGTTGGAGAGAGGGGGTAAAGGAGGTTTTGTGGGCAAGGGGCTTGGACTTCCAGCAAGCGTGCATGACCGTGTTAGATAGGAGTGAATGGAGACGAATGGTACTTGGGACCTGACGATCTGTTGGAGTGTGAGCAGGGTAATATTTAGTGAAGGGATTCAGGGAAACCGGTTATTTTCATATAGTCTGACTTGAGTCCTGGAAATGGGAAGTTCAATGCCTGCACTTTAAAGGAGGGGTTTGGGATATTGGCAGTTTGGAGGGATATGTTGTGTATCTTTATATGTGTATGCTTCTAGACTGTTGTATTCTGAGCACCTCTGCAAAAACAGTGATAATGTGCGAGTGTGGTGAAAGTGTTGAATGATGATGAAAGTATTTTCTTTCTTTTTTGGGTCACCCTGCCTCGGTGGGAGACGGCCAACTTGTTGAAAAAAAAAAAAATATAAATGTTATTTCTGTAAGGAATGAATAGCTTGTCTTAACTCAACCCTTACCCTTTGTCAACTTAATAACAATAACACTAGGAATACTAAAAAAATATTATGATAGAGAGAGAGAGAAAAAGGAATTTGTTGTTTCATCTCCACAAACTTGTATGTAATGAAGAAGTCTCTATTCTGTAATGTTTATTACTGTTCAGAATTTTTACTATACTGCATTAACTGAATACTTGTAGGTTATGAGACAGCACGATCCTTGGCTTACCATGGTTGCACTGTGGTCTTCGCATGTCGTGACCTAACAAAGGCAGAGGCAGCTATTGCTCGCATCCAGAAGCAGAGACCCAGCTCCACTTGTCATGCACTACAGGTGGATCTTGCATCACTCACAAGTGTGAGAATGTTTGCACACACATTCTCGGTTAGATTTGGGTAAGTATATAATATGAAGAGATTCAGGGGAACTGGTTAGCTGGACTTGAGCCTTTGAGGTAGGAAGTACAATGACTCCACTGAAGAGGGGGTGGGGATCTTGCAGTTCTGAGGGTCATTGGAATGGCAAGACAGCCGTTGAATAAATGATGGTTAATGTGCTTCCTCTTTATGGGTCACTCTACCTTGGTGGTAGATGGTCAGTGTAAAAAAAATCAAATTGTGTTCCTATTTTATTCTTGTAGTTATTATTTTTTTCATAACTTTAAAATTATCATAATAAATTAGTTTTGTACATTCAAATTCTAATCCTACTAGCAATAAAATTCTCCCATATTCTTATGCCAAGAAATAAAATGCATTTGCATAACTTAAAATTTTTACCTGAAGTATCATGAATCAGAGAAAATGGTCCTTTAATATCTAGGAATGACATTTAAACTGTCATAAGTTCATACACAGCCACAGCTTGTAATTGTCTTTTCAGCCGGTGTGACGTATTATTATTAAATGCAGGAGTGTTTGGACTGCCTCACACTTTAACAGAAGATGGACTGGAAACTACATTCCAGGTCAACCATTTGTCTCAGTTCTACTTGGCCCTGTTGCTGCAGCCTTTACTTGTGCAGTCCACGCCTGCAAGAGTCATCTTTGTCTCCAGTGAATCTCACAGGTTGGTTTGAATTATTAGTCTCATTTCTGACCACTATACATTGACTACACCTTATTAAAATAAAATCAGAATGTGAATTTGAGAGAACAAGTCGCTGAAAATGAAGTAAAGGAAGCCACAAAAAAAAATGGTGAGATAAGTATGTAATAATAGGGCTTGAGTTAAAAGAAATAAGATTTAGGAAATGCTTGTATGTTACAGAGGGTGGAAATAAGGAAATTTACAAGTATAGTTTTTATTAAAACATGTGTAGACTGGAAGAGAACAGTGGATGATGATGGGTATTGATTGAATGAAAATGTCGTAAGCATTAGAATAAAGAAACAATATCGAAAAAAAAGAGGCGTGTGTATAACAGTAGATAATGTATTAGTGGCTTGAGCATCCAGCAAACTTGTGTGAACATATTAGATCAGTGATTGGAGACAAGTAGCTTGTAATGCATTTGTTATTGGGGTGTGAGCAAAGTATCATTTACACAGGCTGAGTCAGATGCAGGGGATGTTACAGAAGTTTTTGTGTTATGCCTGTGTTTTCTGTTGTAGTTATCAAGGAAGAGTTTCAGAGGAGGGTTTACGTTGGAATGATTGTCCTGTGCATGTGGTGGTCACAATAGTATGAGTGCATATTTTGTATATTAAGTAAGTTAAGATTTTGAAGAATGGGGGAGTGTGTTGTCTGGCACTGGAATGGGTGATCGTTCACACAGCTGATTTTTGTTGAGATATCAATGGTTTTAAGTGATTTGATGTAGCAAATCCCCCAGGCACAAATACCTTAAGTGTAGGTGAGGTAAGGATAGATTAGAGAGTAGTACAGTGCAAGTAGTGCTGTTTGAGGTGCACAATAACATACAGTGGACCCCCGCATAACGATCACCTCCGAATGCGACCAATTATGTAAGTGTATTTATGTAATTGCGTTTGTACGTGTATGTTTGGGGGTCTGAAATGGACTAAACTACTTCACAATATTCCTTATGGGAACAAATTCGGTAAGTACTGGCACCTGAACATACTTCTGGAGTGAAAAAATATCGTTAACCGGGGGTCCACTGTACATAGCTTGGAGAGGATGATTACTGCAGCACTATGATGAGATCTGACTAGGTGGTCATTGTTCTAGGCCGGGGGATGGCATGGACCTGCTTCGCATGGGTCAGTAGGCCTGTTGCAGTGTTCCTTCTTTCTTATGTTCTTATTATTGGTATGACATCTTTTGCTTTGAAATTTCTTATAACATAATTTATTATCCTACCCTTGGCTACCTTTTATTGTATTGTGTTTTCAAAATGATAGATCTTCCACATTATTTCTTGTACCTCTTCCCACCAGACTGTGAAAAAAATCTTAACCATCCTTGAATCACTGCAGTGAAAATGAAAATTACTGAAAACTGTGTAAATATGTAATAAAAGAAACAAGGTGGTAGAGGGTATTTATGATAAATAATAGAGGATTATTAATATGCACAGAACTGCCTTAAGTCATAATAGCCAGGCAAATAAGAAAATTGATGAATACATATGTAAGTTGGGACTAGAAAAGTTCCTTTTATCTTCATTAAGTGGTTTTTTTTTCCAAAGAATTGTATTTTTACAGATTTGCTACCTTGAATACTGAAAATATTTCAGAAGACCTGCTGTCACCTTCACACAAATCATCATATACTTCCATCATTGCATATTGTAACACAAAACTGTGTAATGTTCTCACTGCATTAGAAATGCAGAGGAGATTTGGTAAGTTATTTTAGATTTTATGTATTAATTTATCTTCCATTATTGTACTTAAATATATACAGTAGGGCCCCGCTTTACGGTGTTTTGCCTTATGGCGTTCCACTAATACGGTTTCAAATTATGACGAAAACTTACTATACGGCTAGCGGTCTTTCTAATACAGCACGCCCCACCCAATTTGTTTACATTCTCTGTGAGCACATCTCTCTATTATGTCTGGAAATTTTCCAAAATTTCAAGTGTTTTAAGGTTATTGCATACTTTATATATACAGTACTGATAATTATACGTACGTACTTAGAATTCTTCCTCGGTAAGCCATGCATATTGTAAGAGGTGACTAAAATGCCAGGAGCAAGGGGCTAGTAACCCCTTCTCCTGTATAAATTACTAAATTTAACCCCTTGACTGTCGCAACCCCCAATCCTGAGGTGTCTCCTGGTGTGGCAAAATTAAAAAAAAAAAATAAATAATTTTTTCTTATGAAATGATAGAGAATCTTTTCCCAACTGTAATGACACCAAAAGAACGAAATTTAATGGAAAACTGACAGAATTACGCTCTCGCGAATTTAGCGACCTCGGCGATATATACAAATCGGTGATTTCGCCCACTTTGAGGCCTATTTTTGGCTAATTCCATTGTTCTAGTTGACCAAACTCATAGCTATTTCTTTAGAACTCCACTTTCTCTATCGATTGAGTTCAAGAAACTGCCCATTTACCGATTTCAACTACCCAATAACGTGTTCAGAAATTTACAATTTGGCCAATTTCATGAAAATTAAAAAATATGACAATTTCAAAATAAGGTCCAGAATGAACAATGCAAACATTCCTGGCTTTAAAATAACATTTTCTTTGTTCATCAGTCATGTCTCCAGGCCCCTCTGATATTACCCTTGCTTTCTATTTTGAATTTTTATTCAAACAAAAAATAGATTTGTTATGCAGACTACTGCAATACTGTAATAATTGTACAAATAATGTCAACCCATTCATGACTGCATATTAAAATGGCTAGTTGGACATTTATTGGACAATGACATCATTTGTTTACTTTTGAACATCGGCAAAACTCAAACATTTTAAACCCTACTTTGAGCTCCATTTCCAGGTTCTTTTTATAGTAAAAGCACTCAAAATCACCTCTATTTCTATAATGTGTTTTCCATTCTATCAACTGAGACCAAGAAAACGAGAATACAACCATAAATACTATATGAAAATAGACCACAAATTTGGCATTTTAATTAAAAAAACGGCCGGAGTTTTTTTTTTTCTCATTATGCACTGCGTGCTGCAGAATTTTTTTTATGTGGTGCATACAGACCCATTCTCTCACATGTGGGCCTACCAGCTTTCTCCTGCTTGATTTGAAGCCACTAGAATTTATGAGTATATATACATCAAACACGGTGGCTCGTAAGACGTATATATACGACCGAAACAGTCAAATGGTTAAAAAGAAAAACTTTTGTTTTTCTTTTTGGGCCACCCTGCCTTGGTGGGATATGGCCGGTTTGTTGAAAGAAGAATTATACTTATTAGTGTCGTGGGGTGACATATGTACCTGTACCGAAATATACTTACACAGTGTTGGTGTGCAGATACACGTTAAAATCACTAAGAGTCTCTTTACTCATGATGCCACATAATCTCTTGGGTGCATTAAATGTCGTATATTATGTTAATATAGACATTTCCATTAATCCATCTGTATGTTTTTCAAAATTATATAATAAACACGCTGCATAATGTATAAACATGATACATACACCCACAGTATAAAAATTGACATCAATATAAGATATGTTTACCAAGCGGTTTGTAGGAGTGTCAGAAGAATTACATTTTCTCTAGTCAAACACCAGTTACTTACTGTAGAAAAATACTCCTTTTGTATGCCTCCACTCTATCTATAGCTATTCACAATTCTTGTGGGTTTAGTGCTTTGTTTTATTATGATTATAATAATAATGATATGTAATAACTTGTAATAATAATAATAGCAGCTTGTCAGAGCATCATTCCTTCTAAAAATGATGCTACATGAGAATGGAAGTATTGGTCTTTTTTTTTTATTCTACTATACCACTGTGGAGACAACTTGTACACAATGTAAGGTGTTTGTATGAATGTGTATCAACCATAACCAGATGCATTTGTTTCATAAGTACTCTGCAGTCTGTCATCTTACTCATTCTCTCTCTCGTTTATTCATTATTATCTTGCTTACTCACCTATCACCCTACATTAAGACTACAAATGTTTTAAGGTAAGTAATGAGTGTGCTGTATATGCATTTTATCACTCTAGGGCACTTTAAATGTAGTAGGTGGGGTGGCCAGGCGGGCTACCATACCTCCCACATGACTTTCTACAAATAAATACTTTTCACCTCTCACCCTGCATTAAGACCATTATGACTACAAATATTTTAAGGTTGAAGATTGAGACACTTATGCAGCATATGGGAATCTTTATTCAGGAAATGTTTCGCCACACAGTGGCTTCATCAGTCCAATACAAAGAGGAAGGCGTAAGGAGAGGAGGAGTATGAGGTAATCAGTCCCTCAGCCTGGAGTCGATGTGTTCAGTCCATCAATCTTGTAGGTTAGTAATGAATGTACTGTATATGCATTTTATAACACTAGGGTGCTTTAGCATCGTAGTATATCATGTGTGGGTGGGGTGACCAGGAGGGCTACCATACCTACCCACACCTGACTTCTTACAATAAATACTACTCATCTTTTGCTCTATATTAAGACTACAAATATTTTGAGGTAAATAATGAGTGTACTCTGTGTGTATTTTACTTTTTATTGCCTTTTAAAGCCTAGTTCTGTTGCTAACTTAATATATATTAGTGTAAATTTGTTATCTGGCATTTAGTATATGCATTTTTAAGTGGGAAAAAAATGGCGTTGTGTTTTCCGGCGATGTCTGCTTTGCAGTGGTAGCCTGGAACTTAACCTGCCATATAAGTGGGGCCCTACTGTATATATACTCTAGGTATTTGGTTATGTTCTAATTTATATTTTCTTAAAAAAAAAAAAGCCAAGAAGTCAAGTTTAGTCATTTGAGAGAGCAGTCAACTAGAAAGGGCACTTAAAGGCTAAAATTATATTACATTCGTGAGGGAATGCAAAACCCATAAGCATTCAGTTTTGATCCAGGGAATGGGAAGTAGGTCTGATTCCTTGGATGGAGAGCCTCTCACCAGCTGCAAAATTCATTATTTTATGAAGTTGCTGATGAGGGGCTCTCAATAAAAGGAATTAAATCAGTCATCCTGTTCTTTGAACTAAGTCTGAATGCTTTTCATTCCCCCAGGCACTCTATGACTGCTGTGTGTTTAGCAATCCTCCACAAATGTAATAATATGAAGTTGGTGCAAGTAGTTTTTTCAAAATTAGCTATGAAAATCAAAATACATTTCAGGTGACCAAGGCATCAACTGCTATGCAGTGCACCCAGGAAATGCTGTGTCAACATACCTTACCCGGCACTGGTGGGCCTATCGCCTGCTATATGCTGTAGTTCGTCCATTTACAAAATCTTTGGTAAGATCCGTCAAGCCAACTTTATTTGTACATGTATTAATATATGTATATTCTGCATGTTAATGCTGGAGAACTAAACTAACCTTTTCACTGTTGTGACCCCTGAAATTAAAAGTTTGACAGTGTGGCAATTACCCCCCCCCCCCAAAAAAAATTATCTTTTGAAATGGCAGAGAATCTTTTTCTGAATTATTATTATTATGGGGGAGTGCTAAATCCGTAGGATCATACAGCACCTGTGGGAGGATGTGAAAGGTATTCAGGCTAAACTCAGGGAACTGGAGCAGATCCAATTCCCTAGATCAAGTGTCCCTCACCAGCATCAGGGAACCTCCCTTGAGGGGTCTAAATTACAGTGGACCCCCGCATAACGATGGCATCGCATAGCGATTTTTCCGCATAACGATTACTTTTATCGCAAATTTTTTGCCCCGCATACCGATTAAAAACCCGCATACCGATTTTCGTCCGAGACGCGTCCAATGTGCCCTCACATGTGCCGGCCGTCCCATTGTTTACCAGCCAGCCTCCGCGGTAACATCCAAGCATACACTCGGAATATTTCGTATTATTACAGTGTTTTCGGTGCTGTTTGTGGAAAATAAGTGACCATGGGCCCCAAGAAAGCTTCTAGTGCCAACCCTGTGGTAAAAAGGGTGGGAATTAGTATGGAAATTAAGAAAGATTTTGAAGGGTTTGGGGCTAACCCTGAGAAGCCTATGCCAGTTGTGGAATCCATTGTGCCTACTTCAAAGATTAAGGAAATGTGTGCAGAGTGGGTTGAACTGCAAACCTTTATAGATGAAAATCACCCTGACACAGCTGTTGCAAGCCGTGCTTGTGACTATTTCAATGACAATGTTATGGCCCATTTTAGGAAAGTCTTGAAGGAACGGGAGGTACAGAGCTCTATGGACAGATTTGTTGTGCGACAGAGGTCCAGTGACTCTCAAGCTGGTCCTAGTGGCATTAAAAGAAGAAGGGAAGTAACCCCAGAAAAGGACTTGCTACCTCAAGTCCTAATGGAAGGGGATTCCCCTTCTAAACAGTAAGAAGATAATGCTCTCCCCTCCTCCCATCCCATCAATCATCACCAGATCTTCAATAAAAGTAAGTGTCATGTAATTGTGCATGCCTTTTTCAGTTTGTGTGTATTAAAATTAACATTTCATGTGGTAAAAAAAAATTTTTTTCATACTTTTGGGCGTCTTGCACGGATTAATTTTATTTCCATTATTTCTTATGGGGAAAATTGATTCGCATAACGATTATTTCGCATAACGATGAGCCCTCTTGCACGGATTAAAATCGTTAACCGGGGGTCCACTGTATTATTATTATTACAATCAAAAAAGAAGCGCTAAGCCACAAGGGCTATACAGCAGGGGTCTAAAGATAATGACACTTATGGAATTTTGCAGGATTTTTTTTATTTTACTTAAAATTGGTCAAATTACTGATTCTGTGCACTTTATAGCGTAGTTTTGATAAGTTGAGTGGGCGGTTTCTTGGCCTCAGTTGATAATACATAAGGCAGTCTAGTGAAATAGCTAAGAATTTGGTAGCATTGGTTTAAAATAGGACTCAAAGTCGGCAAATTCGCCAATGTGTAAATTACGCCTAGACCGCTAACTCTGAGCCTGCATAATTCTGAAAGTTTTCAATTGAATTTCATATTTTTAGTTTTATCTTCAGAAAAAGATTCTTTACCATTTCATTTTTTTTTTTTTAAATGTGGAGACAACTTTTAATTTCAGTCTGGACAGTAATAAAGGATCAATCCAAGGAATTGGAACTACTCTCCACTTCCTTAGATCAAAACTCGTATGGAGCATACAGTAAAAGCAGTAGTTGTATAAGGTGTCTTTACCTGAAGACATGATTTATTATATTCATGGAGAAAAGCTTAACCCATAGGGGTCATAGTGTCTGGGAAATGGGAGGCAGTCAGGTTTGATACAGGGAAGGAGAGAGTAGTTCCAGTTTCCGAGATCAGCAATATTAACATTAAGGTACTCCTGCTGCAAGGGGGATAAAAAAAAAAAGTGTCAATTTACCCTTTGGCTTAAACCCCAATACTCCCTTACAATAAAAGATAATATAAGGGTTCTTCACTATGTAATACATGCATCTCAGGCCCATTGCTTAATCAGTTTATTAACACTTAATTCCACGAGAATTTTTAAGTTTACTGATCAAATATGCTGAATATATATTATATATGAAATTATTGATACAGATGGAACATGGCATGTCAGCCTTAAAGCTGGGAGAAACCTGTAATTTAGTACTTCACTGCTGAATTTTTGTTTATTATGAAAAATGTAGTTAACTATGTTCTACACAGCCATGATTGCACATTCGAAAAAAATAATTTGTGATTACCGTTAAATTTTGTCTAAGCTCAGTTTCAGATGCCATATTTTTAAAATACAGTATTGCTTCAACCTCGTTAATATTCATAAGCCTTTCTAGAAAAAAATATCTGGCATGAGAGATCCAGGGAGCACATTTTGAATGAAATCCTATTATTAGTTTACAATTTAGGGATCTTGCATTAAGTTAAGAGTATGAAGGGTACTACAAATAAAACTAATCACAGGTGACCCCTCAGTAAATATGTTGGATAATCAGAGAATGCAAATTTGAGAGTTACTGTACATTATAAAAGTACTGCTGTACTTTGACTATTTAATGTATAATTTTTGCATTTCAATTTTGCTTTGAATGCATTTACTAGCATTTTTTTTTTCCAATAATGTTATTTATTTTCTTCCATAGCAGCAAGCTTGTGCAACAAGTGTATATTGTGCAGCAAGTGTAGATATCTCTAGGTTTGGAGGTATCTATGTCAACAATTGTGTGCCCTGTCTGCCTTCACAGTCATCACTTGATAGTATATTATCAAACCGCTTGTGGATAACCTCTCTCTCAATGATAGAGCATGTACTAGGTAGAAGAGCATTCAGTATGCAACCCCTCAGCAAATGCAATGAACAGAGTCCAAATAATAAAGGTGAGAAATTCTCTAATTTGGTCACAATAGGTGTTTTGTGACTTTAAAAGAAAAGGGGAGAGAGGGCATTTATTATAAATGCTTACAGTATACCATTCTACATATATACCTCTCTTGTAATGAAAGAGGGAAAAAGCAAGCCAAGAGAATAACTATTTAAGCAACAGCTACACTGTACATGCAAGTGGTTGCAGTTTTTTTTTGATCCTCAAAACTGGCAAGAACTGAGGCAATGTAACCAGATTGGCTTTTTTTTTTTTTTTAACCCAAATTCACATGGTTAACCACAGCTAAATGATATTCATAGAAAATAATAAAAATCATAAGGGTCACAGTGATAACCAAATGTTAAACTAGGCATTTAAGAAAGTTGCATTAAGTATAGGGTTTAGCACTTCTTTTTGATTATAAATGGAGAGTTAGAGGTATCGGGAAGACGGAGGGAATATTTTGAGGAATTGTTAAATGTTGAAGATAGGGAAGCTGTGATTTCGTGTATAGGGCAAGGAGGAATAACATCTTGTAGGAGTGAGAAAGAGCCAGTTATGAGTGGGGGGGAAGTTCATGAGGCAGTGGGTAGAATGAAAGGGGGTAAGGCAGCTGGGATTGATGGGATAAAGATAGAAATGTTAAAAGTAGGTGGGGATATAGTTTTGGAGTGGTTGGTGCTAATATTTAATAAATGTATGGAAGAGAGTAAGGCACCTAGGGATTGGCATTGGCAGAGAGGATGCATAGTTCCTTTGTATAAAGACAAAGGGGACAAAATAGAGTGCAAAAATTATAGGGGAATAAGTCTGTTGAGTACACCTGGTAGTGTATGGTAGTCATTATTGAAAGAATTAAGAATAAGATAGCAGATGAACAAGGAGACTTTAGGAAAAGTAGTGGGTGTGTAGACCAAGTGTTTACAGTGAAACAGTTATTTTTTTTTTTTATTAACACACTGGCCGATTCCCACCAAGGCAGGGTGGCCCGAAAAAGAAAAACTTTCACCATCATTCACTCCATCACTGTCTTGCCAGAAGGGTGCTTTACACTACAGTTTTTAAACTGCAACATTAACACCCCTCCTTCAGAGTGCAGGCACTGTACATATAGGTGAACAGTATTTAGATAGGGGTAAAGAGGTTTTTGTGGCATTTATGGATTTCGAAAAGGCATATGACTAGGGGGGCAATGTTGCAGGTGTATGGAATAGGAGGTAGGTTTCTGAAAGAAGTGAAGAGTTTTTAAGAGGATAGTGAGGCTCAGGTTAGAATATATAGGAGGGGAAGAGATTATTTCCCAGTAAAAGTAGGCCTTAGGCAAAGGTGTGTGATATCACTGTGGTTGTTCAATATATTTATAGATGGGTTTGTAAGAGAAGTGAATGCAAGGGTCTTGGCACGAGGTGTGGGGCTAAAAGATAAAGAATAACACAAAATGGGAGTTGTCACAGTTGCTCTTTGCTGATGACACTGTGCTTTTGGAAGATTCTGAAGAGAAGTTAAAGAGGTTGGTGGATGAATTTGATAAGAGTATGTAAAAGAAGAAAATTAAAAGTGAATATAGGAAAGAGTAGGGTGATGAGGATAAAAAGATTAGGTGATGAAAGATTGGATATCAGATTGGAGGGAGAGAGTATGGAGGAGGTGAATGTATTCAGATATTTAGGAGTGGACGTGTCAGCAGATGGGTCTACGAAGGATGAGGTGAATCACAGAATTGATTAGGGGAAAAGGGCGAGTGGTGCACTTAAGAGTCTGTGGAAGCAAAGAGGGGAATGTATGAGAGTATAGTTATACCAACACTCTTATACGGGTGTGAAGCATGGGTGATGAATGTTGCAACGAGGAGGAGGCTGGAGGAAGTGGAGATGTCATGTGTGAGGGCAATGTGTAGTGTGCATATAATGCAGAGAATTCGTATTTTGAAAATTAAGAGGAGGTGTAGGATTACCAAAACTATTATCCAGAGGGCTGAGGAGGGGTTGCTGAGGTAGTTCAGACATGTAGAGTGAATGTAACAAAACAGAATGACTTTGAGAGTGTATAAATCTGTAGTGGAGGGAAGGCAGGGTAGGGGTCGGCCAAGGAAAGGTTGGAGGGAGGGGGTAAAGGAGGTTTCGTGTGCGAGAGGCTTGGACTTCCAGCAAGCATGCTTGAGTGTATTTGATAGGAGTGAATGGAGACAAGTAGTTTTTAATACTTGACATGCTGTTAGAGTGTGAGTAAAATAACTATTTATGAAGGGATTCAGGGAAACTGGCAGGCCAGATTTGAGTCCTGGAGATGGGAAGCACAGTGTCTGCACTGTGAAGGAAGGGCGTTACTGTTGCAGTTTTATAAATGTAGTGTAAAGCACCCCTCTGGCAAGACAGTGATGGAGTGAATGATGAAAGTTTTTCTTTCTCAGGCCACCCTGCCTTGGTGGGAATTGACTGAGGTGTTAATAAAAAAAAAAAATAGTTTAAGTATAGTATTAGGCACCTTAGTATCTGTGGAGGATTAATGAACAGTCTAATCATAGCAGTACTGTATTTCCTTAATTATTTCTATAGTAAACTCAATTTAAGACTATTGGAGGGTCACAACACCCATCCAATGTTACTAATAGATTGTCCTGCCTATCAGAGTGTACATACAAATCACATCCAATGTCTTAACTGTTCCAACACTTTTGGTGAAAGTCCCAAATTTTATGTAGCTGAAGCAATCTATTGCACCAACTCTGATTTAAATTCTGCTTGTGTTAGCCCCTACCCCTATTAACCCTTAACTTTACATACCCCTATCTCCCACTAAATTGTCCTTTGCATATTTCTACTTTAGCTCATCTCCACAGCAGTATGACCTTAAAGGTTTAGCACTTAATTTAATGATAAGTGAGGAGAGTGGGTGACAGGTAATGGCAATAGTGGAGAACATTTCTTTTTGCTGTGATCAAAACGGATAAATCTGTAATCAGTCAGTTGACCCGGCAGATTTTGTCCCATATTTCTGAAGTATATTAAATCAAGGATTTCTTGTACAGTACTGTACCTAGAATATATCTGGCCATTGAAGTCTTGTTGCACATGTAAGTACATACTGTAGTATAGCATACATTAAAAGTAAATGAAGCATTTAAATTTTTTGTTTCTTCCAGCTAGTGATACGTGTTAATGAAAGCTAATACACATACTTGACTCTGCAAATCAAGTTCCACCTCCCGGTCTCTTCAAACATTAATTAACAGAAATTGTAATACTAACAGACTACCTGGACCTATGAGGTAATGAAAGTGTGTTCTTATATTGTTTAATCTAATTGTCATGAACACCAGAGTGGCCTATTTGTCTGCTCAAGATGACAGCCAGAATTGACCACCACTATGGAAGGGCATGAGCTACAAATCTCAGACAAACAGTAAGACTAGGTCAGCCAGGAAAGATAATTATTATAATCAAAAAGAAGTGCTAAACCACAAGGACTATCAGGAAAGATAAGAGCTGCACATTCCTAGCCCCTCCAAGGAGGCTCTTTGATGCTGGTGAGCCCTTGTGGCTTAGCGCTTCTTTTTGATTATAATAATAATAATAATTTGATGCTGGTGAGGAGCTATTGATCTAAGGAATTGGACCTGTGCTCCCATTGGTCATGAGATGTTGGATCTGTCTTGGGGCATTAGTGGTGTTATAGAGCATTATAGCTTACTTCTGTAGTGTTTTTGAGTGTGTTCAGGGCATTGAAGTTCTACTTCTCAAGGAAGAAAATAGGAAAACTGAAATTTGTCTGTAAAGTATAGCATTGAATGTGAGGTAGTTAGGGTAAGTGAAGGGAAGCAGGTTGGCAGCAGTTACAAGTGGGAAGTAGTTCCCATTAAAGGGAGAAACATTAAGTTGAGGAAGGTTAAAGGAGCAGAATTGAAGGTAGGAAATTGCTTTTCTGTTCTCCAGGATGATTGTACTTTAGTGGTTAGTGAGGATAAAGGTACCACTAACTCCTCTGCTAATAAAGGGAGGAATATCCTTGTGGTCGGTGACTTGCAGGTCAAATATATGGACCATGCCTTCTATAAAAGATAAGAAGGTTAGACAGAGGGTATTTCCACTGGTAACTCCACCTACCACTGCTTCACATCTGTCTGCAGTATACATTATAACCTACTCCTCTGTAGACATGCTGTATTTTTATCAAGGTTGATGGACTGAACAGACTCCAGGATGAAGGAATGATTATCTCAAATTCATTTTCCACCATTCTTTCTATTGGACTGAACCAGTTACTGGGTGGCAAAACATTTCCAGAATAAAGATACCCATTTATACGAATTATATTTACTGCTAACTCATAAATAGTACATATTCCTGGACTGAAAATCTTGATACCCACAAGGATACTTTGCATACAGGAGAGCCATGATGAATGAAATATTACTGTAGTGGAATCTGACAAGGATACATATAGGACCTTATATTGTTCCTAGTGTATATTACTGACTTGGCAACAGAAATAAACTACTTACTCATCTTTGAATATGAAGCTAAAAAAAAAATGAGAAGACAGCATGATAAGCTGACAGGGAGTATGTACATTCTGGATGGATGAAAGAAGGGTTAGAAGCCATCATCCCAGAAAGTGTTTGGAGAGAGTGAAAAGGTTTGAGCAGTATAGGAGCTTAAGCATCCAGCACATGAGTCAGAGCCATATCGAAGGAACTGAAGGAGTTGAAATTTCATGACCATTGCCAGACTAGGCTCAAAATTTCAGACATTTTGAAGTACAGTATCTCAAAATAAAAATAAAAAATTTTTTTTTAGTTTGGAAATTGGGAGATGTGGAGGAAGGATTGTTGAGGTGGTTTTGGTCATTTAGAGGATGGAGCAAAATAGGATGACTTGGAGGGTGTACAAGAGGCTTGGAGATACAGCAAGCATGTGTTGAGCGTGTTAACAGTGAATGGAAAAGAATGGTGCAGTTCCAAAATTATTATAATCATAACTAAGTGCTAAACTCATGAGGGTTTAACACTTCTAGAAGCTATTTGAATTGTGATGTACACACACAGCTATTAAACGAATTAAAGTAGATCTTTCTTTCTTTGAGTCACCCTACCTTGTTGGGAGACAATATGATAAAAAAAAAAAAAAAGGTGAAAAGCATTCAAGAACTTTGAAAGAAACTAGTTTAAAATACTCCTTACCTTTATGGACAACCTCTCGAGTAGTATGCAGCACCAGTGATGAACCTTCACACAGTAATGCACTAGAAGGTACAAGGATATTCACAGTGCTGCTATGAAGAAAGAAATATTAAGGCTGTAGCATACAAAATAGCCCTGGGCATAGTAGTAGTAGTAGTAGGAAAGGATAGACCCTTTACCAGAGAGAGTGATGGCATGGTTAGAGATTACACGCCCAAATGAACAATAAGGTTATCAGAAAACGCTTCTCTGATATATTAGTAGTAAAGAGGTGGAATTAACCAAACAATGAAACATTGTAAGCAAATTCTATGCAGGGGTTTAAAAATAGGTGTGATAGGAAGGGCCTGTTTTACATAGTTAAACTGAAAGTTATGAAGCAGAACCAAGAAATCAGAGGTTATCCCACCAACTCGAGTAGGAAATTACACACATGCATATCACTAAAACATAATTACACGTGTGCACATAAATTTTAATTCAAACTTAGCTGTATTCATTCAGATATTTTAAAATGCAATCAATTATTGCAGTATAGGAAATTACAAGTTTCCATTTGTTAAACTTCTTACCCGAGGTTTATTTTTAAAAAATCTGCAAGTATTATACTATGTTTAATCAGGTAGGCTTTTGTTACCTACATTCTAGACTGCAATATTCATACCGTACCAGGATTATTTTATATGCTATAGTATACAAAAAGATTTAACCCTTTGACTGTCACAACCCCAAATCCCGAGGTGTCTCCTGGTATCGAAAAAATTTTGGAAAAAAAAAAAAAAAAATCTTATGAAATTATAGAGAATCTTTTCCCAATGGTAATGACACCAAAAGAATGAAATTTGATGGAAAACTTATGGAATTACGCTCTCGTGAAGTTAGCGACCTCGGCGATGTTTACGAATCGGTGATTTCACCCACTTTGAGCCCTATTTTCGGCTAATTCCATTGTTCCAGTCGACCAAACTCATAGCTATTTCTTTAGAACTCCATTTGTTCTATCGATTGAGTACAAGAAACTGCCCATTTACCAATTTCAACTACCCAATAATGTGGTCAGAAATTTGCAATTTGGCCAATTTCACACAAATAAAAAATGCCAAATTTCAAAATAGGGTCCAGAATGAACAATGCAGACATTCCTGGCTCTAAAATAACATTTTCTTTGTTCATCAGTCATGTCTCCAGGCCCCTCTGATATTACTCTTGCTTTCCATTTTGAATTTTTATTCAAACAAAAAATAGAAGATTTACTGTTATGCAGACTACTGCAATATTGTAATTGTATAAATAATGTCAACCCATTCATGACTGCATATTAGAATGGCCAGTTGGACATTTATTGGACAATGACATCATTTGTTTACTTTTGAACATCGGCAAAAATTTAACAAGCATTTCCCCTACTTTGAGCTCCATCTCAAGGTTCTTTTCATAGTAAAATCAATCAAAATCACCTCTATTTCTATAATATGTTTTCCATTCTGTCAAATGAGACCAAGAAAACGAGAATACAACCATAAATACTATATGAAAATACACCACAAGGTCAGCATTTTAATCCAAAAACATGGTCGGAGTTTTTTTTTTTCTCATTATGCACTGCATGCTGCAGGATTTTTTAATATGGTGCATACTGATCACACAGACCCATTCTCTTACATGTGGGCCTACCAGCTTTCTCCTGCTTGATTTGAAGCCGCTAGAATTTTTTTAGTATATATACGTCAAACACGGCGACTCGTAAGACGTATATATACGACCGATACAGTCAAAGGGTTAAGTTCTGCTAACCCATTTTTATGAAAACACTAGGTAAAACTCAAATGGTATCCTTGCCTCCAAAATGCTTAAGACCAGTGACATTTTTAATAATTTGTTTGGATAATAGTTTTCATTCAGAGGAGTTGTATGTTTGGCAAGGTTACTTCACTCGTACAATAATGAAACCAAATGGAAAATGGCTTATATGTGGAAAAAAAATGATAAATCCTTACATTAAATTCAAATGTAAAGAAGAGACAATGTCAATGAAAGAATTTATTACAAAAAGGCAATAATCTACCTCCTAGATTTACCTTTTAAGGTATTTAACTGGAAAAGCAAGAACTTTGTGATATTCATTTCTTATAATGAAATGAAATATTAGCATCACAAACTTAGGAACAGCTCCATTCTAAAAAATTTCCCCTGAATTATTCTTAGTAGGGAAAAAATTATGCTGGATACTAGACCCATGCACATAACTTTTAGAAAGCTGTAATTCCAACAAAAACATTTCCAATGTGTAATGCTTAGGTAATTTGTACTTGTGTGTGAACTAACTATAGCCAACAGCAGCACATATCGTAGCAGCAGTCTATCCATTTGGTACACCCTCAACGTGGAACCTTAGGATGAAAACTAACACAGTATTGTCTTGATGACGTGATGGCAAAGTAGAACCAAGAAAAATTCTTACAAAATTAATTTGTAAGGAAAATTTATTTTACAGTTGATAAAATATATAAAAATTTGATCTTAAATGTTCTTTAGCATTAAAACAAATTTAACCACAGCCATCATACACTTTGAAAATTTTTAAATACTTAAACTGCCAAAGTGAAATGAATATAGTAGTCTTACTTCTCACACATTAGCTTTTTTCTTGTATAATAAAAAAAAAAAAAAAAAACATATATATGGTTCCAAGAAATCTCACAAATGCACTCACTCACCATTTCACAGGGCAGTGTTTTTAGTTGTATATAGAAGTGTGACTACCATCATTTTCACACTTAGTATAGATATTAACTGCATAGTCACTCCTACAGTTCTCATTACTGTAAATGTAATCATAACTATGAAGTAGTTAATTTCAATCATTTTTGAATTAGGCAAATCATGTCATTTGAATGTATGCACTTTAATTCGTCTGCATAGGAACACAAGCCAAGTCAGTGGCATTATTAACACGAATGAAGATGTTGATTTCTCTCTTGAATGTCAGAACAGTAATGCTGTGAGAAACACACTTGTGCTCAAGACATCACCAAAAGAGTTCACTCATCTGTAACCATGAGGCGATTCAAGCTAGTACAATAATGAAATCTCAAGATGGATTTTAAAATATATATATTAAAAAAACTTCTATGAAGTGTTTACCTTTGGTTTAAACCAACAAATAACAAAAACTCAAAATATGAGTATATATTCAAAAAATTTAATATCTTCAGTTTACACACAAAAACTATACCTCATAACTTCTACACCAATTCACAGTAATTGGTCTTTTATTACTCTGAGGTTATCAATTTATGGAAAAAAAAAATATGTAATTTATTTTGTATCCTTTCCATTATTCAGAAGAGAGGAGGTAGGTATTTACCAGGTCAATATAACTTCCAAAGCACCTTTCACAACTTACAAATGAATTGGGCGCTAAAATACTGTTCATTCATCTACCATCCAGACCCAATTAAAATACAAATTATAGTAGTAAGTTCACCAGATTACTTGGTAATGATTTAACACCAAACACCTTCTAAAGGCGTTTTAATTTCAATAATCAAATAAATGTTTCCGTACTAGCAAAACACCTTAGGTCACTTTGAAACTTTCTTCACCCTAAGGTTTCACTTTGACATAACCTAAAAACTTATAATGTAAGAGTAGGTCTGTAGGTCTTTAAGCCACATTTCACATCATTCAAAAGCAGTGAAACACTTGACAGTTCAAAATGACATTCACTTCTCACACCACTGAGGCATGATGCACAGGACCAGACTCCTGGTCATAAATTAAGTGTCCCATAAGGTCACTCTCACAAATGCTTAGCAATAATACCCTCCCTCCCTCCCCAAGTTCCCACCCTTCAAAATAAAATAGAAAATAAAAATCTCCTAAGCCAAAGTGGTCATTATTCACCATCACTTTTGAGTTTCTTTCCGTCCTGTGCAAGTTCATCATTGCCTGCTTGTTCTGAGGTTCTCTTCCAGCGTCCACATGATTGCACTTTCATATCTTTGAATTTCACAATGATGCAGGTCATATTGTCACAGCCTGTGCCATCCCCATGGGTGTCTGGTGCAAGGCAGTGATCAAACAGCTGAGGAATAAAGACAAAAGATGTAAAATTCTAAAAACATATTCTTTTGTGTACAGTAGGCACTCAATGCTAGGGTTGCACTTCTGAAAATTGGCTCTAAATTCAAATTAACATTATTAAAAGTGAATAATGTGTGAAATAAACAGAGGTGTGTTCCTTGGAGTTTGTTGATATGCAAGTGTGAGCTAATGTGGCCCTAGACAATACTGTATAAACATGAAGCAAACTGCTAGGACCATCACCTATAATTTCCAAGGCCTGTGATAAGCAGGTCGTTGCCTAAGTTTAGTGCATTCCTTCCACGGAACTCTTAAGGGAGATGCTCCAATTCTGGCGAGTTGCTCTTGATCCAAGGAACTAAACTTATCCTACCCTTGTACTGAACCTGAATGCCTCCCATTTCCCAGGTGCTAATAAGTTTAACACTTCCCCAATCCTTTAGGAAAAAATGAGCAGGGCATTCAATCCAGAAAAAAAAAAATGGGCAGATTATTTCTTTCAGAGAAAATGGGCAGGGATCAATAAGCACTGCTTTGGTGACTCAAAATTCCCAACAACCAACTGCACCTCAGTCAGCCTGAAGACCATAACTTACTATCCAACTTTCTTTTTTAAAAGAAGCAAAGTGACAAGAATGAATTTTATCTTACCTTCAATTTCTTGTTCTTCCTGCATATTGCTATAAAGTGTGCACAGATACTTGATGTGGCCCTACTAGGTTGAGGTGGATGGCTGTGGGTTATGATCATGTGATCAGCTGACGCACTTTTCCCACTGAACTGTTTAAACCTATCAAACAAACCAGCACAAATCGTACTCTTATTGTGAAGGATTTCTGTCCTCCTTACACATTATTTTGCATTAATAAGATTGTGTAGAGACTAAACCATTTAAATATCAAACCAACCAGCACTAAATGTTCATTCTTGTGAAGGCTTTTCAGCCTTCTTACACACACTTTTGTAGTACGATATGGCTTTCTGGTATACTATCTAACCACTAAGTTGCTTTCCTCATTCCACATTTTAACTTTTTCCCTTTCCCTATAAACAATCCCCTCACTCACTAGGCCCAAGCTACCATGAAGAAGGATTAATAAGAGCATTAAGTGATTTATAACAGGTGTAAAATACAGTATGTGTAAGAAAGAGATTGCACTGTGGATACCTAATAATGCTAATGTCACAATGGCAAATTGAGTCAGACAATATAACAAACAATTTCTTGTGTTTAAATTAAATGAGCCACATGATTAGTACAGGTCAGCCATCACTAATCTGGCATCACTGGGACCTGTAGTGTGCCAGATTACATAGTGGTTAGGTTAGAAAACAATTGACCTATCAATAGAGACTTTCTGCTACATCTTCCTCATTTTCATCACTGCTTTCTCCTCCACTGGCTTGCTGCTGTGAATTTACAACCATCTGCACAATATCTGAGTCAGTATAATGATGAAATTTGAAATTAGTGTAGTGTCTGATATGTGAAAGATGGCTAATGTAATTCCTATTTTTAAAGCAGAGGACAAGTTGTTACCGTCAAATTACCGCCCAATAAGCCTAACCTCAATTGTAGGCAAATTACTAGTCAATTATAGCTGAGATTATAAGAAGCCATCTGGATAAGCATAGCTTGATTAATGATACTCAACATGGATTCACGAGAGGCCGTTCTTGTCTAACTAATTTATTAACTTTCTTCAGTAAAGCTTTTGAGGCTGTTGATCACGATAAAGAATTTGATATTATTTACTTAGATTTTAGTAAGGCTTTTGATAGAGTTCCGCACCAAAGACTGTTAAAGAAAGTGGCAACTCATGGCATTGGGGAAAAGTGCTCTCGTGGATCGAGTCGTGGCTCACAGACAGGAAGCAGAGTGTGTCCATAAATGGGGTTAAATCCGAGTGGGGATCTGTAACAAGTGGCGTACCACAGGGATCAGTCTTAGGCCCGTTGTTGTTTATAATATACATCAATGACCCTGATGAGGGTATTACTAGTGACATGAGCAAATTCGCCGATGACACAAAGATAGGTAGGATAATTGATTCAAACGTAGATGTTAGAGAACTTCAGAAGGATTTAGACAAACTCGATTCTTGGTCAGAAAAGTGGCAGATGCAGTTCAATGTAGATAAATGCAAGGTTCTGAAGCTCGGGAGTGTCCATAACCCTAGCACTTATAAGTTAAATGATGTAGAACTTAGCCATACAGATTGCAAAAAGGACTTGGGAGTTATGGTGAGCAGCAACCTTAAACCAAGATAGCAATGCCTAAGCATACGTAATAAGGCAAATAGATTATTGGGATTTATATCAAAAAGTGTAAGCAACAGAAGTCCAGAGGTTATACTGCAGCTTTATACATCATTAGTAAGGCCTCACTTATATTATGCAGCTCAGTTCTGGTCTCCATATTACAGAATGGACATCAATTCGTTAGAAAACATTCAGCGTAGAATGACTAAATTAATACATAGCATTAGAAATTTTCCTTATGAAGAAAGATTGAAGACTCTTAAATTACATTCACTTGTTAGACGAAGAATGAGGGGAGACATGATGGAAGTGTATAAGTGGAAGTTGGATATTAATAAAGGGGATATAACTAAGGTCTTGAGGATATCTCTCCAAGAGAGAACCCACAGTAATGGATTTAAATTAGACAAGTTTAGATTTAGAAAGGACATAGGTAAGTATTGGTTTGGAAATAGGGTAGATGATGAGTGGAACAGTCTACCTAGTTGGGTTATTGAGGCTAGGACTTTGGGCAGTTTCAAATTTAGGTTGGTTAAATACACGAGTGAGAGGGGCTGGATTTGAGTGGGACTTGCATATCAGAGCTTATTTCTTGGGTAACATTGAAAATTGGGTTGGGCAAATGTTTTGTTAGTGGGATGAATTGTAAAGGACCTGCCTAGTATGGGCCAACAGGCCTACTGTAGTGTTCCTCCTTTCTTATGTTCTTATGAAATTAGTGCTGGATTACTGATGGAACCGGATAACTGATTGCCGGATTAGTGATGGCCGACCTGTACTGTAAAAAACTGAATCAAGTGCAGATTAAAGAATAATGCATGTATTGGTATGATGTTGTAAGAATTAGGAAAACTTGCAGAATATAATATGAACTTGAACATCTGAAACAGTGATATAGTACTTACTTCTTCACATATTTCTGAGAGTTTCTTATCTTCAGAAAGTCTCTTAGAGACAAAATCACAAGCTTCCTGAGAGGAGAGGGAATTCCAGATTCCATCACAAGCAACAATCATGAAACTGTCTTTGGGTTCCAGTGTCATCGAACGCACATCAGGCAAAGGGCTTATCATCTGTTCTTCAGGGCTCAGGTTCTTGTTCTGCTTGTATCCATGATCCCCTGGGGAAGACAGTATATGTATTAACTGACTTGCCGGCCTAATGAGATTCACTTTGCTACATGAAGCTTATTAGGCTGGCATGGTAAGTGGATAGCGCACTGGCCTGCTAGTTTTAGAACTAGCTTGCCATGAGGTGAAACACTGTTTGGAGAATTACTTATAACAGTGTTATTACGATTTTACAAGATGTGTATTAACTGCTTTCTTACACTAAAGTCAAAAGAGTATGTATTAATTTCTTACTTACTGTGAGACACCTTTAAGTTGGAACACAGATTTGGAGGATATTCAGAGTCTTTGCTTTGGTTCTCGGACAGTAATATATAATTTAGGGGAAAAAAGTTTCAGGAAAAAATGTCTCACAATTAATTATGAAGAGAGTGGTGAGAGTGCAAAAGGAGAGCAGATGATAGAGTGGGAGAGACACTGTCAAGAAATTTTAATGAAAATAAGAAAAATTTTTGGAGTTAAACAAGTTAAGAAAGCCTACGGAAAGTATGGATTTGTCAGTTAAAAACAGAGTAGGGGAGTTAGTAGATGGAGACATGGAGGTATTAGGTAGATGGCGAGAATATTTTGAGGAACTTTTAAATGTTGAGGAAGAAAGGGAGGCGGTAATTTCATGCACTGGCCAGGAAGGTATACCATCTTTTAGGAGTGAAGAAGAGCAGAATGTAAGTGTGGTGGAGGTACGTGAGGCATTACGTAGAATGAAAGGGGGTAAAGCAGCTGGAACTGATGGGATCATGACAGAAATGTTAAAAGCAGGGGGGGATATAGTGTTGGAGTGGTTGGTACTTTTGTTTAATAAATGTATGAAAGAGGGGAAGGTACCTAGGGATTGGTGGAGAGCATGCATAGCCCCTTTATATAAAGGGGAAAAGGGGGGAAAAAGAGATTGAAAAAAATATAGACAATTTTTACTGAGTATCCCAGAAAAGTATACGGTGGGTTTTAAACAGTGGCCCCCCGGTTAACGATATTTTTTCACTCAGAATATGTTCATGCCGTACGACAGAATTTGTTCCCTAAAGGGAAATTGTGAAGTAATTAGCCATTTTCAGACCCCCAAAAGTAACGTACAAACGCACTTCTAATACACTTACATAAATTGGGGCATTCGGGGTGATCGTTAGCGGGGGTCCACTGTAATTGAAAGAATTAGAGGCAAAGACAGAATGTAGGATTGGGGGATGAGCAGGGAGGCCAGGGGGGGTAGGGGTGTAATCAATGTTTACATTAAAGCAAAAAGGAAACCCGAATTAGAAAAAGGGGTGGGGAAGTTTTTATTCCCATTTATGGATTTAAAAAAGGCATATGATGAGGGGAAAAAGGACAATGTGGCAAAATGTTGAAAGTATATGGAATAGGGGGGTAAGTTCCCAAAAATGCTTTTTTAAATTTTGGGTATGGGGAAAAGGGGAGGCTCGGGTTAGGGGGGGGTAGAAGAGAGGGAAAATACTTCCCAGTAAAATGGGTTTTAGACGGGGTTGGTAATGTCACCATTGTTTAATAATTTATAGAGGGGTTTGGGTACAAGAAGAAAATGTTTAGGGTGTTCGGGAGAGGGATGGGATTAAATTATGGGGAATCAAATTCAAAAGGGGAAAATTGACAGTTATTTTTTTGCAAAATGTTTCGGTTTTATGGAAGTCTAAAAAAAAAATTGAAAAGGGTTATTTAAAATAAATTTTGGGGAAAAATGTGTAAAAAGGGGAAAGAAAGTTGAAATGAACATAGAAAAGAGAAAGGTGATGGGGGTATCAAATGATTTAATAAAAAAATTTGGAAATATCAAATTGGGGGGGAAAGGAGTAGGAAGAATGAATTTTTTTTCAGATACTTGGAATTGCCCGGTTTGGCGGAGGGTTTTTATAAAGGGAAATGGGGAAAATTCTAAAATTTGGGACGGGGGAAAAAAGGTAAAGTGATGCGTTAGGTATATGGGGAAAGTAAAAAAAAACGTTATCTAGGGAGGCAAAGAAGGGAATGTAGGGAAAGTAAAGTAGTACCAACACTTTTATATGGAGGTGAAGCTTGGGGGGTAAATGCAGTACGAGGGACATTGGGGGGCGTGGAGATGCCCTGTCAAGGCAATGTGTGGTGAAAATTTTTGGGCAGAAAATTCAGAGTGGGGGAAATTAGGAAAAGGTGTGGATTTTAATAAAAGTTTTAAAGTCAAGGGCAGAAAAAAGGGTTTTTTTAGGTGGTTTGGTCATTTAGGGGAGAAAGGGATCTAAGTAGAATGACATGGAAAGCATACAAATCTATGGGGGAAAGGGAAAGGGGGAAAGGGGTCTTTCCCAAAAGGGTTTTTGGGTGAGAGGGGGTAAAGGAGGTTTTGTGGGAAAGGGGGTTTGGGAAACTTCCAGCAAGCGTGCGTAGCGTTTTAAAGATAGGGTGAAGGGAGAAAATGGTATTTGGGGCCTAAACATCTGGGGGGGTGTAAAGCGGGGTAAATTTAGTAAAGGGGATTCGGGGAAACCGGTTTTTTTCCATATGGGTGGGCCCTCGATCCGGGAAAAAGGGAAGAAACAATGCCTGCACTTTAAAGGGGGGGTTTTTGGGAAATTTTGGCACTTTGGGGGGATATGTTGTGTATTTTTAAAACGTATATGCTTCTAAACTTTTGGGTATTTCTGAGCCCCCTCTGAAAGAACAGGAAAATGTGTGGTGTGGGAAAAAGGGTTTTGAATTTGATGAAAGATTTTTCTTTTTGGGGATTTTTTTTTTTCCTTTTTTGGGTCACCCTGCCTCGGGGGGAGAACGGCCAACTTGTTGAAAAAAAAAAAAAAAAATTTATGTATTTGTTTAACCCCTTTGCCGAAAAGCAAAACTTTTCATGTAAATCCCGTATTGTTAGGTTAGCATGCTAAAAATCATGATTTTGTAAAAAAAAAAAAAAAAAATGAAAAATTTTTTTTTAGCAAAAATGATGAAATAGCCCGTCAGGCAGAGTTTTTCCTTTTCCTTTTTAACATGCAGTTTATTTACTCAAAAACTAACCCAAAAAAATTATTTCTTTTAAAGGGAAACTAAGAGGCAAAAAATTTTACATTAAAAAATCAAATTTCCCTTTAAAAAACAAATTGAATCTTTTATTTATTCTTGGCAGCACCAAATAAACCTCCACAAAAGTATTCATTTTATAATGCTGTTAATTTTGGGTTTTAAACCCTGCACCAACATATACACGAGGGTTATGCAAAAAAGCGTCAAATTAAAGCTTTGCCCCCTCTAATAAACAAAAACCCGGGCTGTTTTGGGTTTTGAAAAATTATAATACTAAAAAAAAAAAAATTTTCCCCCCAAATTTTTTTTAAAAACACAAAATTGTTGTGTAAAGGAAAACACTGTAATGGGAAAATGTTTCCCCAAACCCGTCCCAAATGCTTAAACCCTCCCCACTTTTTCTCTACCACAAACCCAAATCTAAAAAGACTGCTTTAAAAACTTTTTTTCTTTAAAAAAAAAAACATGCATCAAAAAAATACGCTTTCAATGCTAAATTACAAACATTGGCAAAAGGAATAACTAGTTTATACGGGGGTGCAACGAAAAAGAATAAGTGTAAAATTCCCGAAAAGTAAAAGAAGAGGAAATTTTTGGGAAAAGCTTAGGTTGGGGCATATGATGCAGACTGCCAACACTTTTTGCTCAGAGAATTTCACACTAAAAGGGCTTAACATGTTTAAAGAGAAATTCTCTGAAGCAAAAACTGGAGCAAGTAATGATGCCCTAACATCAACTCTTATAAATACTACAAATACTTTATAGAAACTGATGTAATTTCAGAGAAATTAAAACCTCCAATATAACCAACTACTGCAGCCACAAACAATGCAATAGCTACCTACAGGCATCCCCTCAACCCTCTCCACATACCCCCAATCAAAAAAGACAAAATAGAAAAAAAGTTAACTGCAAATAAATTTTTAAAAACTTAAATTTGAATATCGAAATTTTTGGGGGGGAAAAAATTAAAGAGCTGAGAGAAAATGGGATTTTAAAAACTGACACAATGGGGAAATTTTATGAAATAAAAAGGCAATCCCCTTTTTTTTGACAAATGTTTTGGGCCCCACATTAGGAGTTTGTTTCTTTAAACCCCAAATTTTTAAATCTCTGAAATGCAAAACCCTTTTTTTTCCCTTTCAATTTTTCAACTTACTATGCTTTTTTTCCATCCCGCCCAATTTTCAGGAACATGTCCTCTGCATTATGAGAGGGGTTTACCTTACCATAATGCTTGTCAGGGTTGACTTGAATACTCTCACCAGCATGGCTAAAAAGATAAATAAAGCAAGCTAGGAAATTACACCCAAAGAAATCAGAAAGCATTTCTGCAACTGTGTGGTCAACATGTGGGAAGAGCTGAAAAATGATAGTAGACACAAGGTTTATAAAGGGACTGAAAAATAGATTTTTTTTTTTTTTTTTCAACAAGTCAGCCGTTTCCCACCGAGGCAGGGTGACCCAAAAAAAAAAAAAAAAAAAAAAAATCCCCAAAAAGAAAATACTTTCATCATCATTCAACACTTTCACCACACTCACATTATCACTGTTTTTGCAGAGGTGCTCAGAATACAACAGTTTAGAAGCATATACGTATAAAGATACACAACATATCCCTCCAAAGTGCCAATATCCCAAACCCCTCCTTTAAAGTGCAGGCATTGTACTTCCCATTTCCAGGACTCAAGTCCGACTATATGAAAATAACCGGTTTCCCTGAATCCCTTCACTAAATATTACCCTGCTCACACTCCAACAGATCGTCAGGTCCCAAGTACCATTCGTCTCCATTCTCTCCTATCTAACACACTCATGCACGCTTGCTGGAAGTCCAAGCCCCTCGCCCACAAAACCTCCTTTACCCCCTCTCTCCAACCCTTTTGAGGACGACCCCTACCCCGCCTTCCTTTCCATATAGATTTATATGCTTTCCATGTCATTCTACTTTGATCCATTCTCTCTAAATGACCAAACCACCTCAACA